TAGTTTTGGACGTGCGTAGAAAAACATGTTTTAAATTTATTTTAATTTTAAAAAGCGATTCTTTCGCGTGCAGAATTATAAATCATAATTCACCTTGATACTCAATACAGAGGACTTTTTTAGGGCTTATAAATACAACAAGTTCTCTGAATTGAATAAAAAGTTATAATATATTCTATAATGCTCTTCATATACAATTTACTCATTGCCTAAGCCAAAAACTTCTCGCAAGACTTTTGGATCAACATATCCATCTATCATCTTCCTCCAGACCATCAACTGATTAACCTAGTTCTCATTTAATAAACTCGCTCATCATTTAATCAATAAATCTTAGAGAATAATTTGATTCAAACTTGAACTGCGTTCAACATACAAAGAGTTCATTAAAACAAACTCGTCTAACACATATCAACAGGTTTCGTTTAGGCCCTTTTGTTTAGGCCACTTCTGGCCTAAACCGCACAGATTGAGATTCTAGCCTCGTCTGAATGATTTATTGCGAATGCATGAAAAGCGACACTTGAATGATATAATTTTGCCTCCTCGATGTGAGGGCAGCATCTGTGCTGAGTCAGCAAAGCGAAAACTTTTCGATAAGTTAGAGAAAACTTTTGCTTTTGTTTGTTTTTTGTGGACAATGCATGATGATGTAGAGGCCAGAATAGCCCAGCGCAGCCCAGCCAGCTGCAACAACAAAACATTTTGCTGCGACATTTCTAGGTTATCCACGCTGGCGTGGGAGTTGGCAAATCTGATGATGATTGCCCAAGACCTAAGGTAAATGGCGCATTAGGTCAGCTCCGAAACAGGCCCTGACGTGTCAAGTGAAAAAGTTATGAAACAGATTATACAGTAAAGACCTTTGCTTCTTTTTTTCTAAAGCTTTTACAGATTTTCAAATTTATAAAATTGTTGCTTTTGATGTTCTTCCTTGACCCTTCAAGTTGAGGTGAGGAAAAAAAATACTTGGATTAAGGTCAGAGATTAACTAAAGATTAGAATTATAGCTGTTTAGCAGCAAAGCATTCAAACTGTAAAAGAACTTTGTTCTATTTAATAGTATCAAGAAAAAATAAATAAATTAACAATAAATAAAAAATAATACATAATAACATAAATAATATTAAATATATTAGAATCCCATTATTTTGAAATGGCAAGCGGATCAGAAATTCAAACTATCGAGAATTGTTGAGAACACATTTTTTGTTAAATTGTCTCATAATCGACCTTAAACATTTTATTTATTTGTTGACCCTTGACCCAGTTATAAGTTTGCCGGAAAATATAAACTTCGTGGCTATTGTCTTCTAATTTATTGTTGTCCCAATAACAAGCAACACATACTTCCGGCCTTTCCTAGAGCTTTTTTCTAATAAGCCTCAACAAATTATGAACAAGCTCTGCTTTGGTATTTGAATTGAGCTCTCTCTACATATCTATATTATATTACACACACACACACGCGCACACACAGCGAAACTCAATTACACACACAGTTATCTCTGTCAAGTGCCTTAAAAGATTTCAAGTGCAGAGGAAAAGCTTGAGCCAGGCATTCCAAGTGTAAACAATGCTAAGCTACTAACATTTTGCCTTGGCTGTGGATAAGTGTAAAAGTGCACAGCCGCAGAGTAGAGCTAGAGACAAAGAGCGAGAGTGAGACAGAGAGAGAGAGGGATGAAGGCGACGCTGTGTTGTTGTAAAACAAAAGACAAACAAAACTTAATCACTGTCATCATACACGTATGCAAAAGGTACTTCAGCAGCAACAAAGCAAAAACGTCCGAGGAGCAGTTGCTGCCGCGACGTCGTCTGCTGCTGTCGTCAGTTGTTGTTGTTGTTGCTGCTGCTGCTGCTACAGCTGCTGCCAAGTGCAACGAGCGACAACATTTGACAATTGCAGTGCCACAATTGAAGCGACTATTGAAAGTGGTGCAGTGGTGCAACAGCAGCGACAGTTGCATATGTGGGTCATATTCGAAATGCCGGCAACTGATTTGACGTCAACACGTCAACGATATCTGACTATATATAATTTATATAAATATTTACATATATATATATTTGTGCATATATAAAAAAGCACTCAATTACCTGATCGTATTGCAGCATATTGTTGTTATAGTATGGTATACCGAATTTGTATATAGTTTTTTAGCTGAATGTTTTTAATTGTTTTTTTTTCCGGAATTTTGAGATAAAATACAAAGTAATTGTGTTAAAATTTGTTTTTTTTTTTTTAGAAATAGAAGTGGCAACGCACACACACATACACTCACATATATAAGCGAAAACTCAATTAGCACGCAGCCATATACAAGGAAAAAGGGCAGCAAAGTCAATAAAACATTCACATATACACGCAAGCTCCAACACACACACACACACACGCACACTTTGGCAAAAGTGCAAGCCACGAAATAGGCACACCCCAAAAAACATAAAAAATGGAAGAAATTTAACCCAAAATTCTCTATGCAAAGCAAATGGCTTTCAGAAATTTCTTTTTATAACTTTTGGGCTTTGTTGTTGAAATATTTTTGGTTGAACGCGCGCCTCCAAACGCAGCCACGAGTTGACCTTAAAAAGTTGACAAGCGAAAAAAAAAAGAAAAAAACGAAAATGAAATAAAATAAAAGCAAAAACGAACTAGAAAATAAGACTGTCGAACGCACGATAAACCAATACACGCACACCCACACACACACACAGAAATAACTAAATATATATATTATATATATATATATGGGGATACTATGGCGCAGCGCGCGCATCAATTCATATTTTATTGTCAAGGGAACGCACAGTGTACTAAATGTATGCGAGAGCTGGGGAGCACTTGCAGCGCGCTGGGCTAGGGATTTTTGCAAATGCGTTTCATTTATTTGGTTTTGCGTGTGTGTGTGTGTGCTTAAGTCGCTTAGGCTAAATTAATTAATCAAATTTGGTTTTTACTTGAGCCAACATGGCGCGCGCGACATGCAACACCAAACAGAGGCACACACATACGCACAGTGGCACGCATACATTGATATGCGCATACACACGGACACAAGCACACACTACGCGCCGTTCGCCATTTCCGGCGCAGAAATGTATGCTACGCTTTTGAATTTGTGATAGATACTGAGTGGAGGCCAGGCAGAGGCCAAAGCCAAAGCCAAATTGGAATGCCAGCGCCAGTTATAGCCGTTATTATGGCAGCTTTGGCGCATGACCGAAAAACAAAACAGACGCAACAGCGCTGAGCTTTTAAGTTTTTATGGCAAACAGGATGCAGGCACCTAGAAATGCCCTGTTTTCGCGCGAGTCACCCTGTGTGCGAGATTGATAAACAAAACGAACAGCAACAGGCGGCAGCTTGAAGAGAGCACACACACATACACTCAGACACACACACTTCAGCTGCGTCGGCTGCTTCACACTGGATAGCTGACGACTGACGACTGGCAGAGTGTCACTCGTTCGGCTATATTTAGAGCAGGTTGCCTGCCAGAGCACTTGGTACACTTAAGCAGTCCACGCAAGCAAGCAGCAACTCAGTCGACAGCCCGTTGACAGTCCGTTAAATTGAAGTAGATTATCGAGATGATGCAGTCAGATGCTGTCAGCCAGTTGACAATCATGTCAGTAGGTCGTCCACAAGGTAGTGTGAATAGTGCATTAACAATAGGGATGCGAACAAGGCTGAAATTTCTAACAGAAACAGCAGCAAAAGGGGAACAAAGCAAAGGCTTAGCACGTGGACTTAAAATATGTACATACAGTAATTAGAGGAAGCCACAAGAACACGATACAGTGATTTCCATTATTAAGATAAATGTTGAACGGTCTTTGAGGTTTTGTTAATTATTCGATTAGTTAAAATACCTCACCTCATTTTGATCTTAGGTGTTCTTACTCTGTGCTATGACTTTCTCTTCGTTTTGTCAATGGTAAGCCTTCTACTCTTAAATAGTATTTAAATACTGCAGGCAAAAGTTAATTCCTTAAGCGTACTCTTTACTTTGACCTCAAGAGCTTTTACTCATTCCTTTTACTCTGCCTTCTTACTTTCAACGGTAAATCTTATTTGTGCTGATAAATAAAGTAATTTAAATACCTGGATATGCACTAAATGCATTGCAGAATGACATTTGGCCATATAAAATAGACACTATTCGCGAAATATACATAATATAAATAAATAACATAATATAATATAATAATATGCCGAATATGCCGAAATTGTTCACACGCGCACTTTTATTCATCGACCGATCCGCATAGGAGACGCACACGGACTGAATCGTCTTCTTGAGCTCGCACCCACACTAAGCTGGAATTTGCACTCCTTGATTAAGCTCTCTCGACTGGAAGGCCACTACAATTGCCTTTCTCTTTTACTCATCTTTGCCATGCACTCAGTGCTACTGTGTGCAGTCCATACTCAACTCATACAACGGGATCAGCAGCAGCAGAGCCAATGCATACAAGCAGAGGAGTATTAATGCATAGTGCCCACTCTCTGGATTTCCATTAAAGGCACTCAACTCAAATCGAACTGGATTTGTATGTATCTGTTTGTGTATTTGCGTTTGCTTGTGTATTACGAGACACTCTGCTCTTAGTGCTTTGATGTCTTATAAGACTGCATGTGCGGAAGTTGTTTGAGCTTATTTAATATATTGCATTTATTATTAAAATGTATTAGATTTGCATTTATCTCTAAATAAATCAAATGGACTCTTGCCTGTGCAATACTTTTGCTTTGAATGGAATAACTTACTTAGCTTATTTCATTGGACTACCCTGCTGTTTATACTTATAAATCTTATAAGAATTGAACAAATAAGTCATTCTACTTTATTATTAATTTATAGTTTTATAATAATAAAGACGAATGCTTAAATGAGCTAAAGCTTCATGGAATGTTGCTTTAGATATTAAAATTAAAAAAAAAAAAAATAAATAAATGATATTTAAATTTTGTATATTTTTAATAAAATTTTAATGTCAATATGTTTTACAAACAAATTATAGACTATGTATAATTTTCGATTATCCTACAAACTATGTCTTAAAGCTGAAGGCACTTCGCGCAGTGCCCATCACAGGGTCAGATAGCGCAAGGCTTTGTCCAGAAAACGCTCCTCGGCCGATCCCTGGCTGCAGGCGATGCCACGTCGCGACTTTGATGACATTTGATCATACTGATGCTTGATGGTGCTGTTGAGCAGGTGTTCACAGCGCTCAGAGTGCTGTAGAGTTTCCACCGACGGCGACTTGGCGTATTCCCGCTTGAGCACCATGCTAATGATGCGTGATCTTGTGGTCCTGGCCTTTGGTTTGCTGATGACCTGGGAGCGGGGTCGCAGTGGTGGCGGTGTCGAGCCACCATAGATGCCCGACTCGGCGGAATCGGAGTCCAAGCCAGTGTTGGAGACGCCAGCACAGCTGCAGTAGGTGACGCTGCTACGAGGCGATTGACTCGCACTGCCATAGGCCTCATCATCGCAGATATCGTAATCTGGGTGGTTCTTCTCAGCAACGGGCAGGGATTCACTGATGGCATACGGTATACATTTGGCCTCCATGTACATGACGGGCTCATCGACCGCCTCCTCTGCGCTGGGCGTCGGACTGACACAACGCTCATCCTCCAGCTCAGCAATGCGCTCCTCCAGCAGCTTCTGCTTGCGTCGACTCTGACGTCGCTCGTGCCGCTCCCGCTCGATGCGTGCAATTGTCTCCAGGCTCTCGATGAACAGGCTGAGATCACGCTGACCGAAGCGCGCCGCATTCAGGGTATATGTGGTGCTCACAGTGCCACAGCTGATGGGCTCCATGAAGTTCACGAACTGTGTGCAAGTGTAGGTGGCCATGATGAATGGATTTGATATTTCTTGAGCGGAACTTGGCTTGGCAATGTGTGTGCTTCAAAGGCTGCTGTGCAACTGATGTCCCTGCTCAGCAGAGTCAGATCCTTATATAGCGCACAGGTAGTTGAGGCTGACCTCTGAACTAGGCTTAGTTGAACTGCCCTGGTCCGACAGGTAGGTAGGCGCGGTTAACCTTTACACGCCACCCCTCCGTCCACCCTCTATCGCCCATTGTAAATCCCTAGCGCATTTTTCAAGCTAAGTCCAAGTACAGGTAATTAGGCCTGTGCCCGGGTAATTCCTTGATTGCTTTTTAATTTCGGCATTTCCCAAATGCCATCAGAGAGACGCTGCAGTGCAGTCATTGCACACGTGTTCGGGGCTTTTATAGCTTTGACAGTTGTCACCTTTCGCAGGCAACACCTGGCCAACAGCTGTTTGGGCTATATCTATTATAGCCACTGCATTACTAAATAGTATTTGCTTAAACTAAATATTTTATTTGGCCAAAGCAATTCGCTGCTGGCAGGCAGAGCGAAGCGTCAAGTCAACAAATCAATACCAAATATTGACTTGGCCCACCTTTAATTGCATAAAAATGATTATATTCGAATATATAGAGTATATAGCATAATTTCTATATCTTATGTACACTCTATGAAAAATAATCTGCCAAATGCCAAGGCCAAGAACAATTCTCGTCTATTAATAAGACTGACGAAGGCTTACACAAGTGCCAAAGCAACATTGAACAGCCAATTCAAATCATAAACAATTGATAAGATTACATGGCCTTATCATTGCTGGCCATGGCATAAGTTAGACTGAAGCGTTGGGGGAAAGAGTTTACAAGGTATATTGAAACTTGCCTAAAAGTAGAGAATAGTTTGTAAATAGTCTGAGAGCAAAGATCTTTCAAGATGACAAACTAAGTCTAGTCAAGATCACAAGTCTTTAGGTTAGTTAGGATCCAGAGTAGTTTAAAAGTTAAAATTGTACTCTTCTTTAGACTTTAAATTTCAATATTGAAAATGAAATAAATTTTCTTTTTTTTTTATGATATATTTTGATAAAGAGAACAGAATTTCAGCAGATTTTGATGTTTCTTTCATTTGCAAATGTCATTAGAAAATGTGAGAATATTTAGTCCATTTCGACCTCGCTAACAATCAAACTTAAGTCAATCTGTCCCAACCTCATGAGAGACAATTCTGTCCTTAAGCTGGCGTTAGGATAAGGATGGGAATACGAGATTGTCTAGAAGAATAACAGGAAGATTAACACTAATCTCTTGGTGTAGGTATAAGCCACAGCTGGTTCAGCTAAATCTCATCTAAGCCACCTGTAGCTTAGGTCAGGTGCTCAGCTGCTGTTTATTAAACAGCTGAGTATTGGTCGCAAAACAAATGCTAGAATAATACTTAAACAATATTTAATAATGACACATATTTTAAATCATTATTATTCATAATATAAAATAATAAAATAAAATAATTTTTAAGTTAAAAAAAAACTTATAAAATTAATACTGTAAGAAAAATATAAAAAATAGCTAGACAATAACTGTCAAAAATATCAAAGTCGCAGCACTAATTATTCTCACTTAAATATATTTTAGTTAAGCAACAATTTATATGATTGCAATATGTGTAAATTAAATTGTTAGCTATTTAAATAAATATATAAAATATGTAGTATATATATTATATATAACTTATATAATCATATATTTCAATTTATATAAATAAATATATTTAAATATATGATTTATATAAATATATAATTTTTCTCCACTTTTCATAATAAATCATTTTATAAAGATTCCTTAAATCAAAGTTGCTAAGAAACTTGTCCCTGCTCACTTATAACTCAATTTAACTTGCTTAATAGCAAAACTTTCAAAACCTCAACGAAAATGAGTGGACTGAATGACTGGGCACAAACAAAAGGTATTTGAAGGACAGCAAGGACACCGCCTGCCGTGTTGGGTTCGCCGAGTGTCGCCTCGGCTGGCCCAAAAACTGTTGTTAGCCAAATGACTTGGACTTGTCTAGACAGCAGACTGGCTGCTGCACAGACAGCGGACAAATTGAAGAGTGTCGTTGACTAATTAAACTCCTCTTCTTTGACTTCTTTCGTCTTATGCTGATTATTATTATTATGATCATTTTGGGAATTATGTCTGTTTGTTGCCTTCTCTGCAAAGCTGACTTGATTAAGTGTCTTTGTTTTGGCTCAGGGAAATTAAGTTTCCAGCTGGCAGCTGTCCGAGGTCGCAACGAGATTCATTTGAAATGCACTTGAGAGCAGATGAGAGCTGAGAGCTGAGAGCTGGTGGTGGTGGTGGTGGTGGATCGCTTCTCGTGATGCTGCTGCTGCTGCTGCACAAAATCCACTGGACTTTCAATTAGGCACGTAACGCGGCACACAGCAAATGGGCAACGAGCGAAGCGTCAAGGCACTTAACCCATTGATGCCGCCGTCGCTTTAAATGGGCTGCAAATTGCCTTGCATACCCCCGTCTCCCTCTCTCGCTCACTCGCTGTCTATCGCCTTTTCGGCCACTTAACAGCATTAATTAATTGTCTTAAGTGAAGTGAAGCCGAACATGAAAGCATTAAGCGCTTTTATCAACAAACTTACGTGACAGGTGGTTGAATCAAACGAGTTTTATTATCTCTCTATATAGATATATGCATGTATATATATATATCTGCTGTATACGTACCTGCAATAGACAGAAAGATAGAGAGAAAGCAAATTAGTTAAATTGTTTTATAGAATGCATCAACTGGGACTGCACCCAACGGGAAATATCAATTTACCAAAACATAAATGCCAATTGGCAAATGACAAGCCCAAGACGACGCACACAACAAGTAGCAACAACTTTGGTCGGGGAGGATCGGGTGGATAGGGAGAGTATAGGGGTTTTGGGTCAAAGAACAGCATGGCAAGCGCCGACAAGACATGTTGTGCCTGGGGTGTGTTCCGTTATGTGTGTGTGTGTGTGTGTGCTCGTCTTGTTGATGGACACCAACAACAACAACAATAAGAAGAACAACCAACGTCAACAACAACAAACCAAACCTCAATTGCTTCACATTTGTTAAAGACAAAAGGGAAAGACAGTGGCGTAGTCTTTAGTAGCACTTTGGGGGTGCTTAAGCAAACAGCCTGCTATGCAATAAATATAACAGGCAGCACATTCCATGACTCAATGTGTTAAAGTGTTTTTATATAGATACAACTTTGATACTTTACATAGTCTTACAAGCCGCTCTTAGGGACTATTCTATAGATCGTGCCACTTGATAACAGATCTGTTGGCAGTTGATTTATGTTTATGATCGCTTCCTAATATCCGATATATTTCATGGTTTCATTTAGAATGTGTCTACAATTGAAAGCTGTGAAACAATTTATTATCTAAAGTTTTTTCACTTTGAGGAAATTTAATATAAAGATTGGAATGAAATTTATTTATGCTTGTTTCATAAAAATAGTTAAATTTATATTTTTCGAATAAGACATTCTTAGGCAATGCTATTCAGATATGTAAAGCTAGTTCTACTGTATAATAAGTATATAATGAAATATGTGTATATCTGAATAACATAAACAGATCAAAGAAAATCCTAGCTTAGGGCAGATTTGAAAATATAATAAGAAGAATCTATTTCTTATATAAATACACCAAACAATTGCTGATGACAAATATCCTAAATTGTATATATAAATCAATTTTCATCAATGATTAGATATATACTTTTTACTAATTTATATTCATGTTAGCAAATACAGTGCACAAAATTAAAAAAAAAAAAAAAAATCAATAAATTTGCAAATAAATTTTGTGTAAAGTACAATTTATATTTATAAAGTGCAAATAATTCTAGGTAAACAAAATAGGAATTCCACAATTAAGTAACAATTCTATTTAAAAGTAGCTAGCTAAAATGTAATATTTTACTAAATAAATTGTAAATAAAGTATAATCCATAATTATATTTAATACAAAAATTATTTAAGTTCATACAAAACTCTACAAATCTGTCTTCTCGGCTCCTCTAGCTATAATATTACTGCACCCAGTCGGGCATTCCATTCCTTGTCAATTCTGAAGAAATGAAGGCCTCATGCCAGGGCATATCAAGAATTTCAGTTCAACTCGGTTGCGCTAATAGGGTCAAAATAATAAAGGCAAAAAAATAAGGGAAGAAGAAGAAAAACAAATGAAAACAAAAGTCGGTTGCGTGCCGATCGTCAGTCAAGCGACTGTCTATTTATAGGGCCATTGTAATAACTCCATCAGCGGCAGAGGAAAATGATCCATGAACGAGCCGCCCGAGCCGCCCGAGCCGCCCGATCCCGCCCATATAGAGAGTAGAGAATAGAGAATAGAGCAGAGCTGCTGCTGCTCTGGCTATGCCAGCATAAACTTCAAACAGATGTCAAGCCGGCGGTCACGTAATTATTATTAATGTCTGCTGCTCCCTTTCAATTTCAGTTTCAATTCTACAAAACTCAAACGCAGCCCAGCCCAGCACAGTCCAATCCAATTTGCAGCCCAGCGACTTTTTCCATGTGATCTCATCTAGCAAATATGCGTCTCTGTTTTACATTAAAAATTATTGCCACAGATTTTTCTTGTTGCTGTTGTTGTATTATTTTATAGTCTACACTTTTTTTTAGTAAACGAGGCGTTTACTCGATTCCACGGGTTGTTGAACCATTGGCCAACATGTGGGGCGGTCGGCGATTTGCTTTGCTTTGCTTTGCGTTTTCCCTCCCAAGTGCGTTCTTCGCAAATGAATGGCGTGCTTTGATAAATGGCACATGGTACCGTAGCTAGTAGTACATATACACATACATACATACATATGTATATATATATATATATATATATATATATATGTATTTCTACTGGCCACTAGTCGCCTTATATGGCTTTCTTTCCACGCAAATTCATTGTCACAAAAGTTTCTTCCATTGATAAATCGCACTCGAAAGACCCACGCGCAAAGCTTCTCTCTCTCTCTCTCTCTCTCTCTCTCTGATAGCGACGCGACGCTCAAATTGCATCAAAGGGGGCGTT